TAAACACATAGAATTAATTTATACTAGAAAATGAAGTACATCCTCATTTTCTTATAAATGAGCAGCTGGAAAAAGTGTATGAATGTAGTGTTTATTTATTCTTCATTGAAGGGAGAAAACTGAGGCCATATACAGCTATTTGGTTCCTTGTGGGAGAATTATCACTCTTCCAGTAGAAACTAAAAGCATATGCACATTTGTTAAATTTCTCCTGGAAGAAATGTGCTTACTGGGGAGAAGAATCGTCCTTTGTCACTAAAAAAAGATCTTTCTTGCATGGGGATGTCTGGTTCAGGAATGAATGCCTGAACACTTTCCTCCCAGTCCAGGAGGAGTGGAGCAGCAGGAATCTGGTAGTGGGAAACAGCTCTCTGTGCCTTCCTGAGACTGGGTTACCCCAGTCCTGAGGAGGTGTGAGCAGCAGGAACAGCTCATGTCTTTCTGGGACCAGGAGAAATCAAGTGGCTGTGCATTCCCTCATTTGGGGAACATGCCAAGATGCTACTTTCTTCCCATTCCCCAGACTGGTGTGTCCAAGTTTAAAGAGGATAGGGAGCCCTTTTCAAATGGACACACCGGTCTGAATGAGGGACTGTCTCATTCTCAGCTGCACATGACCATTCTGGAGCCAAAGATGGGGGAGCTTCTCAATCTCTAGCTGCATGTGTGGATTTAAAGAGGCACTGATGTGAGCTGCTGGGGATAAGGGAGCTTTACCATATGCTGATCCTCATATGTGTGCCACTTTAAAGGGGTATAGAGTTGGGGATGTGGGATCTTCCTCATACCCAGCTATAGTGGCTGGACACCTGTTTAAATTTGTGCATGCAGTTCAGTATGGGAGACCTTCCCACTGCCAGCTGCATATGCCTGTTTAAAGAGGTGCCCAGCATCAGTTCATCCTCTGCTGTATATGCTGGATACCTCTTTAAAAGGGCATGTGCAATTGGGGGTAAAGGAGTCTCTCTCCCCAGTTGCTGGGCTTGCAATGGCCAGGGAACTTAAACAGCAAGCTGGCATCAAGCTGGGGATCCCAGCTGCATGCAAGCTGGGACCTTTTTAAAGGTCCTTGGTGTTGTGAGCCTGATATCAGGGAAAATATCCTCAGTGGTCCCATGACAGGCCTTTTGTGCATTATATATTAAGAGATTATGAAGTACTATATCATGTGGTATGACATTGAAGAGGACTCTTGTGGGACTCCTGCTATTGCTTTTTAGCTAATGGTTGTTCATTCTATTATGTTTATAAAGTTGTAGTGCTGTACTTACACAATTCAGTAGTCACTTTTTGATGTTCAAATTGAACTTTATTTTGGGAGTGGTTAAAAAAAATACATTGAAATGAGTGACTGATCAGCAAAGCCACATCTAATGTTTTACAGAAACAAAAGAATCGGGCAGTTTTTTAAATTTACAAAAGGTGTTTCAAAGGTGTCTATTTCCCTCGGACCTTCCATGCTTGGTCTTTTCCATTTAACAACTTAAGTCACTGCATTTCAATTTTTATATTATCTTCCAAGACAGTACTGTTAGCTTCATGTCAGTTTAACTACTCTGTCAGTATAGACTTTATTCTTGCCTCTGCCTGGGTGTCTGAATTGTAGCTTACTTTATACCTGTTAGTAGGCAACCGTTGATCCTTCTGGATCATGGTATTTGCATGAGAAGTCACCAGGACATTTGATCATATACTTAGGCAGGAGAATGGAGGAGTGGAGGATTCCCAGACCTTCCATCCCTGCTTTAGCCTGCTGAGACAGAATTCAAAAGCCAGACCAAATCCAGACAGACGGTGCCTCGATGGCTGTAGTTATATGTACATCTGGGAATCAAACCCAGGTCTCCTGTGTGGCAGACAAGGATTAAAATTTAAGAAACCACCCCAGATAAGTTTCCAGTGACTTCTCTATTGTTTCTGAATGATTCATGCATTTCTATGGTGTTACCAACAGTGTCCGTGAAAGTCGCTCAATTTTCCAGATGTCCTCACGATAAAAGGAGTTATTTTAGTTTTCCACCTTCTACTTCTTGAATATTTCCAGCTTCTCTACATAAGGTTTGTTTTGTAAAACATGATGTCTACTCACATTTGTATTCCTCAGTACATTTAGTTCATGAGGCTATTGAAGGAAGCAAGGAAAAAACATAGTCATTTAGTCATGGCTAGTTTACTAGTTGAGGGTAATCTTTTCCTTTCTGCGCTAAGAATAATCTAACTTCGCCCAGCCATTTTGTGATTCCAAGAAAATGGCCTCAGTTAAACCATCTGACACTGTTATAAATCAATAATCCTATGTTTTGAGCCTCTACTACGACATGTCTAAATTGCTCAGTTATTAAGAGCTCTCACAATTATCAGATTCAAAGTTTGAACCACCTTCTTTTGAATACCTTTATCTTTAATGTTGGTGGCCACTGTTAACAGCTTAATCGGTTCTTGCATTTATTTTTCCCATCTTCCTCCTGACAACTGTAAATCATACCAAAAAACTGACACCAGTACTGTCATCTGAACAAATTAAGAATACATGTTCCTTTTCTAGTCCAGTTTTCAGCCTCTGTTTGCTTTCCTTCACACACTAAATATAGTCTTTAATTGTGTTTCTGCTGCAAGGCAACCTTTAATGCACCATGACTTTTCTTTTTGGTCCAAGAAGTCTTAGAACAAACTGTTGGCACAAGAAAGAATTACCTTTCTTAATCAGCATCAGAAAGTGGTTCTTGATGCTATGTGATACAGCGTGACACGTGAAAGCTAGCAGCAGACTTTGCACACACATTAGACAACTGCAGGAAAGCCAGAATCAATCAAATGGTTTTGCTCTTCTGTAAGCAAGGAGTTTTACGGATTGTTTGTAGGTAATGTAGAACATAAAATGTTTTTAGAAACTATACACACTGAGCAAAGAAAGCTTATCCTTTGCTATTTGAACATGCAAAGTCTCTTACACTACCGTGACTGCTTAATTTTTCTTTCTTAGGTAACAATAAACTTTTAGTGGGATGTAAGCAAAAACAAAACGGGCATTGTGCAAACAAATATTGAACAGTGTTCTGAAAGGCGCCATCTGTCAGCTGTGTCAGGCACTGGGAAACATTTACTTGTGTGGTTCTGCTAAACAAATACAACCCACCTATTACCGTACAGCAATTAATACTGTGTACTATAAGACCATAAGTGAGCTTCTTTGAGCAAGAGAACACCTTGTTGAACTGTCCCTAATCCCAAGAAAATACCTTCTTCCCCCCAACCCTTGCTCCCAAACCATTAAATCCACTTGGAGTTCTCTTACAGAGGAGAAGTCCCTCCGAGACATTTGTTTCTAGCTACTAATGGCCAAAGTGGAAAACAGTTAATTGAAAGGCAATGTCTCTTTTGCCCCAGCTAAGGAAGTGTCCCCTGAGCAGCAGCAACAACATCAGGCCAGCATTAGATGATGGAATTGTATCACTATTAAGTGTATTAGCCAGTAGCATGTAACTAAGAATGGATGACTGAGGCTCCAACCCCAGGTGCTGACTTGGGGAAAGTGCCACAGATTGGCAGCTGCCACTGCTGCTCAGGGCACAAAAACTGCTTTTTATGCCTCTCACATCAGCCCTTCCTTTAAACAAGCAGCAAACCTCCTGGCCTGCAAATATTAATAGTACCGCTACCTGCATTTTTTTTTTTCCTTTCCTCTCCACAGAGCCTGTAGTTTGGAGTCAGTGAAGTGGCTACAGCATTTAAAAAAAATCTCATGAAATCCAACTTGCATACATTTGTCACAAGTCAGATTGTAGTTCTTGCTACTAACTGGGGGTGTAGAATACTCCTCAGTGGTACAGTTGAAACGCTTCCAGTATTCCCATTCACTAATCACAACTGGCATTACCTGCTTAATGCAGGTCAGCAATTGGACAGCTAGACCTGGGGTTGTCAACCACGGGTACACATGCCCCCAGAGGTACTTGGGAAGGCCCTAGGGGGTACGTGTGGGTGGGCAGGGATGACACCTACCACCCCATGCTGCCGCCTCCCAGGAGCAAGGCCAGGAGGAGGAGGGTAGCGGCACCCCTCTGAGGGCTGCACAGGCGCTGCCTGGCTGGCCGGACGCAAGGGAGGGGGAAGCTCATATGCGGCTGCTGCCACCGCCACCCGTGCTGCCACCGCTCCGCGTCCAGCCGCGTGCCACTTCCCTCCCCCCCACAACTCTGCATCCTGCTGCCAGGGGTACACTTATTAAAATAGGTTGAAAACCCCTGATCTAGAGTCTGCAAACAGGGAGAGAGCACCAGGAGTATTAGATGTATGTGAGAACTGGATGTTTGTAGTAGCTACTGTCATGTAATGTTTCAAGGGAAGGTGCTTTCAGGGAGCACAAGACCATCTTCTATTTTTGTTTTGGACATGAATGAATGATGCCACAGAATGTGTAAAAAAAAAAAAAAAAAGTCTGTCGTGGTGGAGTATTACCAGAATAACTTGAAAACCCCACAGCAGCACACACTTGACTTGCTGTCTTTGGGGAACTGAAGTTCTAGACAGCGTACTTATTTTTTTTGTGCTGTTTTGTTTTTTCACATTTACTTCCACATGCACACATTGGAAAAAAATTGGTTGGGAAGTACTGTAAGGAATATCCTGTAACTGATCCATTCAGCAGGCCACAGGACTATTAGGTAGGAACTCCTGACTTCCAATATTGACTTCTTTCTGAGGCTTTAGGCCACTCATTCTGGATCAGGAGACAAACTGAAGTTAATATGTGGTCAAAAATAGATTGTTTCATTTGGTTTTATGTAGCAGTATATTTTCAAAGTGCTTTACCAAATGTAGTTGTTTTTTATTATAATTATTTTTAAGCATAAAGAACTCTTTCATCAGCTTTCTTTTGCCATCCAGTTCCTCTCTACACTTTCTGATTTTCTTATTTGATCTTTGTATTGCCTAAAAATAGTCTTACTTGCATCTAGATTGAGACTTTCTGCAGTTGTTTTACAGTTTGTCTTTCTTAGGTCATGATGTAGCCCATCAAAGAGAAGATGACAAACTCAAGAGAAGTCAAAAGGATGATGAAGAACAAATTGCCAGATACAGAGAACTTTTACAGAGTATCCAAGAAAAAGAAAAAAAATGTGAAGAAAATGATATGGAAATGGAGATTAAATGGGTTCCAGGTAAATTTCTGGCGTTTTTTTTTCCTTTTCTGACTTGAAAAAGCAAGTAATATTATTATTGGCCTAAGTACTGAGGTACAGAGTAAAGAGAGGGACTTACGGCAATAGAAATTATGACCGGTATTTTTTTTTTAATTTCTCACCATTGAAATCCAGATGGGTCAAGGGAAAATGGGAGGAAATATGATTAAGCACCATTTCTCAGCTGAGGGTTGTCTGTCTAGTTTATAGTTCCTGCCAGGCATTTTTTTTTCCTTTGATGCTTGCTTTGTCATTTGTCTTTTTAGAGATTTTCTTGAATTGATTGATTGTATTTATTTGTGCTTGTCTTAAAATCATAACAGAACTATTTACATTTTAAGAAACAAAAATTGTTGGTTTCCCTATGTTAACATCAGAGAAGTATAAGAAATTTCTCGTTCAGAATGAAGATTGCTTTCCTCAAGGTATCCAGTATTTTAATATCCAGTATATTAATGTGTGGATATAAGTGTTTATTCTTTGATTTGTAACTGGTTGAGGAATGAAAACTATGTTCATCTTGTGATGAAATTTCAGATAGGCTTTTGGAACAGTTTTTGTCCAAATACTTCCAAGCTGGAGATGATTGGCTCAAGTTGGGGTTCAGTTTTTGCACCTACTTATTTTATATTTGTGTTACAACTTAAAATTAGTTTAAGGCATGTTTTCAAAACATAGCCATCCACATCCTAGATGAATGCAAGTGTAATATAACTCCAAAATAGAAATACTTTCAGGCATGTTGTGAATTTAAGTTGGGAAAGAGACTAGGTGGTGTTTTTTTCACCTGCAAAATCCATTGCCTCAATCATCTGCTTATAGCCTAATCCTTTAGTTTATTACTCTTTTGAAATAAGAATATCTACCAAATGTGTTGCCCGTTGTGTTGGATTTGTTTGAATCTTTCATAATTGTGATTTTTGGCCAGCATCTGTGTTTGTGACCCGGCTGTTCTCTTTAAATACAGTGCCATTTATCCAAAAGCAGGTTCAGATTGTCTGGAGGAGAGGAGGAGGCTGGAAATTCTGTCACTTACCCATGAGGTATTTACTAGGATTGTTTCTATTAGAATCCATTAAATTTTCCAAGTTGCTGTCCTACACACTCAAAGGAAAACGTGACTTAGATGGCCCAGAAGTGTGCTACTTGCAGGTTTTAAAATGTTTTCTAACATTTTTTGGTTTTGTTTTTTGTGTATGTAAAATTCGTCATCATTTGACAATCCTGGACTAGGGCAGATCAGACTTCTTGATTTGTTGCTGGAATATTGACATTTTTCTGTTCATGAAAGTATGTACAGTGGGTGATTGTAGAGCAGCTCTTCAGTAGTTGAAAGTTTTTTTTGTTTTTACATTGGCCCAGGAAGGGCAGGAGGTATTAGATCTTAATACTGCAATGTTCCTATATATAGAAACACTTATTTAACAGCACAAAATTTTATAATTTTCTCTGGTTCAAGCCTGGAAACCTTAGGAAGAATAAATTGCTAGTTTGAGAACTTAAAGCAGTAGACATGTGGATACGTTTTACAGGCAACCTGCTGATCTGTCTCCTGTGTTCTAGCTTCTACTACTATATTAACCTGATCTATAACCTGAATCCCTCTTTCTCTAAAGTAGAAAACTGATTACATACATAACAAGCACGTGAATGGTATGAGATTTCTGTGTTTGTGTAATAGTGGGTTTTTTCCTCACAGCATGCACCTTTTCCCTCAAAATTAGCTACTAGAAATGAGGGGTGAGAATTTTAAGTGAGGAATGCAGTAATAGCAGCTTCTGTAATATAAACCTCTGCTAGGGGAAAGAGAAGGTAACACTGCAGCTGCTTACTGGACATGTTCTCTTTCTCC